GTAAGTTACGTTACGGAGTGTCTGTCGCGAGTCGTCGTACCGAACGGACGGCGGCGCAAGACGAACGACGCGACGGACGGGCGGCGGCGGCAACAACAACAATGGCGGCGGCGGCCGATCCGGCGGCGGCGGCGGTGGGAGGGGCGGTGGAACGGTGGTCGGGTTCGCCGACCGCGATGACGGGTCGCGGCAGGACTTTTGGATGGAGATGGCGAGCTGGGAGATGTGCATGGTGTGGTTCCTGGCGAGCTCGGTGGCCGTGACGCGCGAGCAGCGCAAGTTTTGCCTGCAGAAGCTCGAGGGCCTCGGCATGGAAAAGGCCAACCTGGACAACATCGACGTCATCCGCAGCCTCTGGCGCCAGGCCGACGAGACGGGCCACACGTGCGACTGGAGGGATTTCGTCGAGGAGAGCGGCATGGCCATCACCTTTATCTTTTGAGCCGGAAGAAGAGAGCGAGGATCGATGCGCCCAACCTCCTGCCTTTGCCACGCCGGTCTGCTGGTCCAGCATTCCCGTTTTGCCTGGTCTCGCTCGACGACGACGACGACGACGATGATGATGTACAACACTTGCTCTGATCTGATCTGCACTGCCCGTTGGTTACCAACCCTTGCACTCCCGAACGATACCCTTGCCTGCCTGCCTGCCAGCCCTGCCTGTGCGCGAGCGGGACCTACCTGGTCGCCGAGCGAGCCAATCCGATGGCGGCCGTGACGGCGGCGCCCGCGAGGAAGCCTGCCATGGTGGTGACATAGGGGCTCGGGTAGCCGACGACGGGGCAGGAGCCAAAGAGGGCCTTTTTGATGCGCACGTCGCTGGGGAGGAACGACCAGCCGCCCTTGACCTCCTGGTATCCCAGGACGCGGCCCTGGTCCCACCCCTCGAGGATCTTGTGCATGTCGCCTTCGGTCATTGTGCAGATCTCGTCGAGGTTCCACTTGTCGCACACCTCAATCATCCAGCGCATCCTGCGCGCGCCCATGTCGGTCTGCGGCACCTTTTTCCGAAGCATGCTGCGGAGCTTGCCCACGTTGACAATGGCCTGGCCGACGTTGGACGGGATGGCGGCCTGGATCTTCTGGCGCGTCTGCGAGGCAATCTTGGGACCCTGCCCTCCCGTCGAGACCATGACCTGGAGCGGACCGTTGCGGATGAGGGAGCCAAAGTAGAAGTCGCACTCCGGCGGCACGTCTGCGACGTTGACGGGGATGCGGCGGGCGCGGCAGGCGTAGCAGATTGACTTGGAGAGCTCGAGGTCGTCGATGGCGGTGAGGACCATGTCGAAGCCGTCGAGGATCGAGTCGTCGGTGTAGGCGCGGTCGAGGTAGACGTCGACGACGTTTTCCACGTCGATGCGGTACGCCATCTCTGGGCAAAGGCCCGAGCGCGGGCAGAGGACGGTGAGGTGGGCATCGGCGTCCTTGACATTGACCAGCCGGCCTAACGTAGCAGAGGGCGGGGGGTTGGCGGGGTCAGTCCGTGGGCTCCCATGCGACAGGAGCACGCGCGAGGATAGGGGGATCAGCTTGGCCACCCACCTGCTGCTACGGGTCCGCCGCCGACGATGAGGACCTTTTTGGCCTTGAGCTGCCAGGCAATGAGGAGGCCGCCGCCGGGGCAGATTTTGGGGTACTTTTCGGCCTGGGGTGGCGATGTCGACGACGACGATGAGGCTGCGTTGGTTGCCATTGGGCACTGTGGTGCTGGGTTGCGGGATGCCATGTTGGTGGCGATACGAGGCGAGGCTGCGGGTGGTGGGTGTTGGGTTGGTGGTGGTGGTGGTGGTGGTGGTGGTGGTGGCAGAGCGAGGAAGGCGGGGGCAAAGGGGTCAGCGGCCAAAGATAAGCGTGCAGCCGAGTGATCGGGGCGTGCATGCGGGCACAGAGGGCCGCCACGCGCTTCTCCACTTTGGCCCCACGTCTCTGTGTGTCTTTGCTTCCTCCCACCATCATCCCTTTTCCCTCTCCCCCTCCCCCTCCCTCTCCCTCGCGCCTCGCGCCTCGCCGCCGCACGCCATGTCGACGGCCTACACAAAGCAGAAGCTCAAACAGTCCCGCGACGCCATCGCACAAAAGGACTGGCAGGCCGCACTGCAAGCCGCAAACCACGTCCTCGAGCACGAACCCAACAACTACAACGCAAACGTCTTCCTCGGACTCGCTTCCCTCAACCTCGAACAGTACACCCAGTCCGAGACCGCGTACAACAGGGCAACGTCGGATCATCCAGACCAGCCGCTAGCATGGCAGGGCCTCGAACGCTTCTACAACCACACCCGCAAATGGGACCAGCTCCGCCACGTCCTCGTCAAACTCATCCAGCTCCACGATCGCGCAAACGACCCAACAAGATGCGCAGAGGCATGGCAGCGCCTCGTCCGCCTCGAGAGAGAGGAAGGCGGCAGGAAATCCCTCGCAGATGCTCTCCAGCTCGTCCTCCCCGACTCGCAATACTACCCCACCCTCTCCTCGCTCGACCCGCCAGACCAGACCCAGCCGGAGAGCACCACCACCTTTGACACCCAGATGGCCGTACACGTAAACAGCCTCGACATCCTCGTCGAAATCGTACACCTCATAGAGAAGCTCGAGGCCGACACTGTCGAAAAAGAGACGGAAAAGCGGCGCATGCGCATCGAGGGCGCCAGGCTCGGCAAAGAGGCGCTGCGCAACCAGGTCATCGTCGACGTCTGCGCCGACTCGAAGCTGCCCTCGCTCTACGAACAGGTCCTCTCGCACCCAAACGCTCCCGACGACCTCCGCAGGGAAACCGAGTCCAAGCTGCTCCGCCGCCACCTGCAGCTCCTCCGCGCCTACCCCTCGTCGGCTGCCACAAGGCTGGCCGGCCCGTCCGGCACCGCCGCCGTCAACGCCGAAAAGGTCGCAGAGCAGCAGCAGCGTGACCTGGAGCTACGCGAAAAGAAGCATGCCCTCCGCGACGCCGTCGTCCGCATGGCCGAGGGCATCGTCATCATCGGCCTCGACGACGAGCTCGCCTGGGAAATCGTCCTCGAGTGGTCCGACACCGGCTCCCTCGTCGACCTGCCCCTCGAGCGCCTGCGCAAGTTTATCACCCTCTTCCCGCGCTCCGGCAGGTCCAAGTCGTTCCAGGTCCTGCTCCTCCTGCTGCAGGACGAGCAGTTCCTCGTAGAGCGCGACGAGCTCGAGAAGCGCCACGACGTCGAAGTCGACCGCTCCCGCGACGCGGATCTCCTCGGCCTCGCCATCGAGGGGCTCGAAGACTCGCCGAGCTCGTTGCTGGCATCGCGCATCGCCGCCGTCCTCTACCTCCTTGACCGCGACCACGCGTCGGCCTCCGAGGTGGCCACCGGTGCCCTCGGCCTCGCGCGTCGCATCGAATCCGACGCCGGCGTCACATTGACGGGCGCAAAGTTTGGCATCTCCAGCGTTCTACTCACCGCCCTCACCCACCTCCATCCTCCGCAGAACCACGCCAAGGCGATCCGCCTGGCCGACTCCATCCTCGCAAACGAACCCTCTGATCTCGATGCGCTCCTCGCCCGCGCCTACATCGACCAGGCGGCCTCGCGCTGGCAAGAGGCCAGGGCTCACCTGGAGACCGTCCGCCAGCTGGCATCCGGCCTCGACTCCTCGACACGGACGCAAAACGAGCGACGCCTGTCCATCTCCCGCGACCCGGGCCTCGAGGCGTGGATCGAGACGGCGTGGTGCGACGTCCACCTTGGCCGACTCGAAGAGGCCAAGGTCGAGATGGAGCAGATCCTCGAACAGGTCGATCCCGTCGCCTTTGAGGGCGTCGGCAGCGAGGAGCGCGCAAAGATCTGGTGGCGCCTCGGCCGCTGCCACTGGGACATGGGCGGCGAGCACCGCACCGACCCCGCCAACGCCTTCACGTGCTTCATCACGGCGCTCAAGCGCAACCCGGCGTTTGCGCCCGCCTACACCTCGCTCGGGCTCTACTACGAGACGATCGCCTCGCCGCCCGACGCAGTGCGCGCGTCCAAGTGCTTCCAGAAGGCGTTTGAGCTCGACGCGCGCGAGAACGAGGCGGCGCGGCGTCTGGCCGAGGGTTTCGCCGACGAGCGCGAGTGGGATCTGGTCGAGGTCGTCGCGCGCCGCACCATCGAGGGCGAAGGCGGCGGCGAGGCGCTCGATGCCGGCAGCGGTTCTGCGTCGAGCTCGGCGTCGATTGCGGCCTCGCGGCGCCACCTCAGCCAGAACTCGTGGGCGTGGCAGGCTATCGGCAGCGTCGAGGTGTCGCGCAAGGCGTACGACAAGGCCATCCTCGCCTTCCAGATTGCGCTCCGATCGCAGCCAGAGGCGTCGCCCATCTGGCAGAGGCTGGGAGAGGCGTACGCGGCGGCCGGACGGCACGTCGCGGCGCTCAAGTGCTTTGACAAGTGCCTCGAGCTCATCGACGAGCAGAACCGACGTGCGCAGGGGGGCGACGCGCCGGTCGACGACGGCTGGCAGGCTCGCTACTGCATCGGCGACGTGCAGCGCCAGCTGGGCAACTTTGAGCTTGCCATCGACATCTTTGCGGCCATCCTGCGCGATCATGCGGCCGAGCTCGGCGTCCGCATCGCGCTCGCCGACACGCTCCTCATGTCGGCGCGCAGCGAATACCACGCGGGCTACGTCGAGCGCTCCGAGGTGTCGGCCCGCCGCGCCATTCGCGAGGCCGGCAGGGTGCTGCTCGGCGAGGATCAGCACCTGCGCTCGGCGTGGAAGGTTGTCGCCGACGCCGTGTTCCATCTCAGCCGGTTCGGCCGGGTAGATGATGTGCAGCTGCTCTTGCTCGACGGCGACGGCGACGGCGACGGCGAGAGCGGCAGGCTCGAGGCGCTGCTGGACCTGGCGACCAAGATGGAGACGGATGCCAAGCTTCCCTCGATCCAAGCCGTCACGCGACAGACGGTCGACGACGGCCTTGCCTCCCTCCTGTCCGAGGCCGCCCGCGACGACACCGGAGCGGCTTCGGCGGCGGGGTCGAGCGTTTCGCACAGCGACGTCTTCCTGGGCGTCTCTGTGTACCTCTACAAGCTGCGCGTGGTGATCAACGCAGCGGACAGCATCGCGGCCGGCAGCGCGTGGTGCGACCTCTCGGTCTCGCTCTACCGCCTGGCGCGCTCCCTGGCCGACGTCGACGCGGCGCGCGCCGCCAACCTCACGCGCCAGGCGATCGGCTCGATCAAGGAGGCGCTGCGCTGCGAGCCGGGCAACGAGTCGTTCTGGCTGGTGCTGGGCAACCTCACCTTTGCCAAGTCGCTCAAGGTGTCGCAGCACGCCTACATCCGCGCCATCGAGTCGGCGCCGCGCTCGGCGATCCCCTGGACGGACCTCGGCTTCCTCTACATGCATCATGGCGACGTGGCGCTGGCCAACGAGGCCTTTATCAAGGCCCAGACGGCCGATCCGGATGCGGCCGAGGCGTGGGTGGGCCAGGCGCTCGTGGCGCAGCACCACGGCGATGCGCGCGCCACGCGTGTGCTATTCGACCACGCCGTCAAGCTGAGCCAGGGCGCGGTGCTGGAAGCCGACTACGGCTTTGGGCAGAGCGTCTTTTCCTCGTCGCCGTCGTCGCGCTCGGGCGATACGGAGCTGCACGCGCCGTCGCGCGCACTCTCGACGTTCCTGTCGCACAACCCGACGTCGACCGACGCGCTGCACCTCTCGGCCCTGTTCTGCGAGCGGCTGGGCCAGATGGACATCGCCATCGACCGCATCCGGCGCGCGGCGGCGCTGCTCGAGGAAGAGTACGAGCGGAACGAAGACGTCGACACCGCTCGCCGGTATGCCGTGGCGCAGGTCAACCTGGGTCGCATCCGCCTTGCGGTCCGGGACTGCGACGGCGCCAGGGAGGCGTACGAGGGTGCGTTGGGCCTTCTCGACGTCGACGACGAGGGCGAAGAGCAGGAGGACGGCGAGGACGGCGAGTTCGCAATGGACCTCAAGCGGACGAGGGTGAACGCCACCCTCGGGCTGGCGCTCTCGCTCTTCCATGGCGGCGAGGCGGACGAGGCGATCGCCAAGCTCGAGGAGCTCCTCGCCTCGCTCCCGTCCCTGGGCCTGTCGGCGGCGGTAGAGGAGGAGTGCAGCACATCGGTGCTGACCCACCTTTCTCGACTGCTCTTCTCGACCTCGTCGATCGACACGGCCCGAACGCGACTGCTCGAGGCGGTGAGCGACCATCCGTCGTCGCTGGGCCTGATCACGACGCTGGCCGCACTCGGCCTCGTCGAGTCGGACGAGGACCTGGCGTCAGCCGCCATGTCGGAGCTGACGGGCGAAGCCATCGTCCAGGCGGACGCGGATCGCGCCGTTCCGCGCCTGCGTTGGTTCGACGCGATGCAGGGCGGGAGGGAGGAAGACGCGCTCGAGGTGCTGCGGAGGGAGCACGGCGTCGAAGCCAAGCTCGAGCTCGTCGAGACTCTGCTCCGACTCGGTGGCGGCGGTAGCGATGGCGACGGCGACGGCAGGAGGAGGGCAGAGGCACACGAGACGGCGCGCCGCTGCCTCGACGAGCTGAGGCGCGACCTCAACCCGACCGAGGCGAGGGGAACGGAACAGAAGTGGAGAGCAAGCGTGTTTGCGACGGCTGCGGCCGTTGTCCACGGTGGCCCGCCCCCCAGTGCTGAAGGGGGAGAAGGAGAGGGGGAGGCAGAGACGGAGGGAGAAGGAGCGAGACAAGAGGAGGGTGGTGGTGGTGGTGGTGGTGGGGGTGGCACGCAGGCAGGAGCGACGATGGCATTGCCGAGGAGCGCGCGCGAGTACGCTTCGCTCGCCGTTCTGAGCGCGCCGTGGGAGCAGCGCAACTGGCGTCTGCTCGAGTCGGTCTCCGCCGCCGCCGCCGCCGCCGCCTGAACGACGCTCGCGGCGCAGCGATCGTCGGAAGGCAGGGCCACGAGGGGGGCAGCATCGTATCTATCAACACCTGTCAACATTACGTCGTCGCCGCCGTCAGGAGCGACGGCGGCGCAATCTAGATGCGACTCTTGGCTCCCGCGCCACCGCCGCCACGCGCCGCGTCGAGCAGCGACACGTACGTTGGCGTCCTCGTCCCGGCGCGATCGAGGCAGGCGGCGATCCAGCGGCGCGTGTCTGCCGGATCGATGACGGCATCGATCTCTGCGGCCCTAGCCATGCCCTCGCCTCTGCCGCGCTGGTAGAGTTGGTCGATCCACGCCTTTTCGCGTCTCGACCTCTCGTGGCCGTCTGGGATGGCCTCTAGCTCCTTTTTGCGTCCGAGGCGAACGGCGCCCTCTAGACCCATGGCGCCAAACGAGGCAGTGGGCCAGGCGACGCTGCCCATGTTGCACAGCGTGCTTCCGCCCATGAGGGCCTGCGCGCCCAGCCCATACGCGTTTCGGATGGCCACGGAAACGACTTGGCCGCCACCGCGGGCGAAGTCGGAGAAGGCCGAAAAGAGATCGCCAAAGATGCGGAAGGATCCGCCCGCGGTGCTGCTCCGCTCAAACGCCGGTCCCACCATGAACCCGGGCGTATCGACCAGGCTGATGACGTGTGCGAGGGCGAGGCGCGAGACGAGGCCGAGGAAACGCGTCGCCTTGAGCGCCGAGCGGTCGTCGATGGCGCCCGAGAGCTGCGTATTGGAGCGCGAAGCCAGCACGCCCACCACCCTACCCTCCAACCTGCCCAGACCCGTGATGAGCGAGGTACCCCACCCGCTCCCCAGCTCGATGAAGCTACCATCGTCCAAAAGCGTATCGAGGAGCGGGTAGATGTCGTAGCTCCGTTTGCGCTGCGACAGCGGCGGAACGGCGAAGCGAAGCCGCCGCACGTCGGACGTGTAGGCCCACTCGTCGCGCGGCAGCGTGGGCGATACGAGGAAGCCGAGCAGCTGGCGCACGACGTGCACGGCGTCGCGCTCCGTGTCGACGAGGATGTCGATGCCGCCGTTGGAGTGGTGCATCGATGGCGGCCCAATCTCCTCGGACGCGTACACGCCCAGACCGCCACCTTCGATCATGGCAGACCCGCCCATGCCGATGCTCGTCTGCCCCAGCTGGATGGCCGTCGTCGTCGTCGCCGTCGTCTTCGGCTTGCTCGAGCTCGAGCCATCACCATCGGCCGCAGCGGCTGCAGCGACCTCGGGGTCGCCGCCGCGCGTCGCGACGACAATGTCGCACACGCCGAGCAGCGCCGCGTTGCCGGCAAAGACGTAGCCATTTGCGACGCCGATCGAGGGGATGCCGCGCGCGCGTATCTGGCCGAGGAGGGCAAATGACGGCGTATTGAGGCCGGCGACGACGGGCACATCGGTATCGCCGGGCCTGCCGCCGCCGCCCTCTGCGAAAAAGACGAGCGGGTGGGGCAGGTCGAGGACGCTCTGAAACAGGCGGTCGAGCTTGAGGTGGTGGAAGTAGCCCTGTGTCCCGGCGAGGACGAGGTAGTCGGCCGCCGCCAGCGCGACCGGGTGCGAGCGGTACGCCGCCCATCCCGTAATGATGCCGTCGCCCTGGGTGCGTTCCATGAGCTGCTGCAGGGGTAGCCGCCGCGTCTGCGCCGCAATCACCAGCTCGCCGTACTCTTGCAGCGATCCGGCGTCGAATAGGCGCGCCAGCACCTCGCGCGGCGTCAGGTAGCCCCGCGCGTGCCGCTTGCGCACCGCCTCGGCGCGGAACGCGTCCGTATTGTAGCTGCGCTGCCGCTCGAGGTCCTGCAGCTCCGGACGCAGCTCCCTGACCTGCTCCTCGGTCAGCTCGGCCGTACCCGCCGCAGCCGCTGCCGCCAGAGCCGCTGCGTCGGCCTCGGCGGACGACGACGACGAGGATCCATGGGAGGAGGAATCCGGCTCGAGAAAGATGAGCGCCCGGCCCGCAGAGACGGCGCCTCCGGTCGCGACGAGCGTGCTGTGCACCCGGCCCGGGCGCGGCGCGCGGATGACGTGCTCCATCTTCATGGCCTCGACGACGGCCAGCTCGGCGCCGGCCTGCACCGCGTCGCCTGCGGCCACCTTGAGCTCGAGCACGACGCCAGTGATGTGCGCCGTCACGGCCTCTGTTCCCTCTGGCGCCTCCTCGGGTGCCGCCCCGGCGCTACCGCTCCCGCTCGATGCAGCGGCATCAGCGGAGCCGTCGCCGCCGCTGCCGGTGCGTGCGGCGGCCTGGTCGTCGTGGTCCTGGAAGCGCAGGGTGGCGCGGTACAGGGCGTCGATCTCGTGCTGAACCGTGGCCGTGGTGGCCGTCGACGTCTGGACGGCGGGATGCTCGAGGAGCGCGCGGAGGAAGTTGCGGTTCGTCTTGCAGCCCCGGATGTCGGTCTCGTGCAGCGCCCTCTGTGCCAGGCGCAGGGCCGAGGGGTAGTCGGGCGCCGTGACGATGACCTTGGCGAGGAGGCTGTCAAAGAGCGGGCTGACGCTGTACGTGCTGAGCTGCGGCGAGGGGGCGTGGGCGGCCGTGTCGATGCGCACGTTTGGGCCCGTGGGGACCTGGAACGCCGTCAGCTGTCCCGCCTCTGGTTGGGCGGTGCCGTCCGGCTGGAGGGATTCGGCATTGATGCGCAGCTGGATCGACGTGGTGCGCGGCCGCGGCGGCGAGGGTGGTAGGCCGAGCTGCTCGACCGTCTTTCCGAGGCCGACCTGGAGCTGGAGCGCGACGAGGTCGACGCCCGTGATCTGCTCGGTGATGGTGTGCTCGACCTGGATGCGCGGGTTGGCCTCCATGAAAAAGAAGCGGCCGTCGGGCGCGACGAGGAACTCGAACGTGGCCAGGCTGCGGTACCGGATGGCGCGGGCCATGTCGAGGGCCGATCGGATGAGGTCGTGGCGCAGCGCGTCCGAGATCGAGGGGCTGGGCGCGATCTCGACGAGCTTCTGGTTGCGTCGCTGCAGGCTGCACTCGCGCTCCCACAGGTGCATGGCGCCGCCGGCACCGTCTCCGACGACCTGGACCTCGATGTGCTTGGCCGACGCGAGGAAGCGCTCGGCGTAGATGCGGTCGTCGCCGAAGGATAGCTGCGCCTCTCGCTGGCACGCGCGGTAGTTTGACTCGACATCGGCGCGCGTGCCCGCATCGTCTTGGGTAACGTCGACGATGCGGATGCCGCGTCCACCTCCGCCTGCTGCGGCCTTGAGGATGACCTTGGAGCCGGCGCCGAGGGAGCGTGCAAAGTGCTGGATCTCGTCGAGCGACGAAGCGCCGCCGTGTGCCGAGCCGCCGCCCTTGCTGGCCTCGAGGACGGGTACGCGCAGGCTATCGGCGAGCGCGCGCGCCTGCACCTTATCGCCGAGCTGGCGCAGCTGGTCCGAGGTGGGGCCGAGAAAGACGATGCCGGCGTCCTCGAGCAGGCGGGCAAATTGCGGGTCTTCGGAGAGGAAACCGTATCCGGGCGCCACGGCGAAGCAGTTGTGGCGTTTTGCGATGTCGACGATGGCGTGCGCGTCGAGGTAGGCGCGCGGGCCGTTGGCGGGCAGCTGTACGGCGATGTTGGCGTTTGCGACGTGGAGCGCGTTGCGCTCCTGCTGCGTGTGGATGGCGACGGTGTGGATGCGTGGTGCGTCGAGGAGCGAGTAGGTGCGCTGCAGGCGTAGGGCGATTTCGGAGCGGTTGGCGATGAGGATGCGCAGCGGTTGCCCCGCGGTGGTGTCGGCCGAGGGCATGGTGAGCGAGGGGAGGGGGGGACGCCGAGGATGGCCCGGGGTTGGTAGTGATGGTGGCGAGGAGAGGGTAAGGACTGGACGAGGAGGGAGTGAGGTCGGGACAGTGAGAAGAGCTGGCGAGCGAGGAAGATTGGGCAGAGGCTGTACGACGCAACCAGAGGCGGTTGCCCCCTGCCCCGCCGCCGGCTGTCGGTCCCCTCGGCATCCGCAATTACCGGTGGGACCCCTCCTCAACGGCACCTTTGGCCGACGCAACTGCACTGACAGCGGAAAGCCAAAAAATGCGGGGAAGCCGGCCGGGGTAAAGGTGGCGGGGCCGAGGCTGGGCGCCCTCCCTCCCTTTGCCTCTGTTTTGACCGGCCGAGTAGAGAGGCCAGAGGGCAGGCTGGCTGGCCTCGATGTCGTGTGCCCGCCCAGTCGAAGCTGGCCCGTGCGACGCACCATCGCCTCGCCTCGCCTCGCCTCGCCTCCACAGGCCATCGACGTCACTCTCCTCTGCCTCTCACCACCACCACCACCACCACCACCACCACCACCACCACCACCACCACCATCGACGCCACCACGCCCGCACGTCCTCACACCCATCCTCCCTCTCTGCCACCACATCCACACCCACCCCCCGCGCACCAGCCCACGATACGGTCCACACTCTCGCTCCTCTCCAAGATGGCCACCGACGCCAACTGCATCTTCTGCAAGATTATCGCGGGCCAGATCCCCTCGATGAAGCTCGTCGATACGCCCAAGACGTACGCCTTCCTCGACATCGGCCCGCTCGCAGAGGGACACGCCCTCGTCATCCCAAAGCACCACGGCGCAAAGCTACACGACATCCCCGACGACGACCTCAGGGAACTCCTCCCCGTCGCCAAAAAGATTGCCATCGCATCCGGCGCCCAGGACTACAACATCCTCCAGAACAACGGAAGGATCGCCCACCAGGTCGTCGATCATGTCCACTGTGCGTGTTGCGCTGCTGTGCGCTGCTGCCCCCCCCCCCCCCCCCCCCCTTGTCCCGCTCTGCCTTGTCATGAGACTCTCCCTGACCCAAACCACGCCCTTCTCCCCGCCCTCTGCGTGCCACTGCCTGACAGTCCACGTCATCCCCAAGCCAGACGAAAAGCAGGGCCTCGGCGTCGGATGGCCCACCACGTCGCCCCCCAAGGAGGAGCTCCAGAAGGTCTTTGACAGGCTCAAGGAGAGGCTCGAAAAGCTCTGACCGCGCCAAGCACTCAAGCACGCCGGTGCACGAGAGGGGCCCCCTCTTCTGCCCCCCACGTCCACACACGCGGCCTCGTCGATAGTGCTGATCAGCATGCCATGTGAAATGTCAAGCCAGCTCGTCTAGCCGCGTCCTTGGAGAGTGCCAGACAGAGTGTGACGGATGCCGCGCGTGGCCGCTTCAACGGTTGTTGGTACCGCCAAAGCCCGTGCTCGTCCTCAGCGAGCCACCAGACGACGACGACGACGAGCCGCCGATGCCGCGGTTCCTGGCCCAGCTGCCGTCGTCGTCGTCGTCCCTCTCCCAATACGACCTGGCGCTCGGCGACCCAAACAGTCCGCCTCCGCCCGCACCCGTTCCCCTGCGGTATCGCATCTCGTCCATCGGCGATCGCTGGTTACCACGGCGGTTGGCCGCCAAGCCCGCCGCCAGACCGCCCAGACCCAGTCCCGTCCAGAAGCCAGGCCTCCATCCCGCCTCGGCGTTGGCGCCGGGTGCTGCGTGCGTCGAGGGACCGTCGTGCTTGCTGTAGGGGGGAGGTGGCGGCGGCGCTCCATTGCCTCCACCCCATCCACCGCCGGGGAACCAGCCGCCGCCTCCACCACCGCCTCCGCCCCCACCACCCGGTCCTCCGCCACCCACGCCTCCGACGCCGCGCTGAGCGCCCGACCCCATGACGGATCGCAGGAAGCCGTAGAGGATGTAGAAGAGGATGCCGAGGAACGCCAGCCAGAAGATGTGGCCGATGAACTCCTCGGTGCGAACTGGAGGCGCCGAGGACGAGAGAACGAGCGATACCGGAGTCAGGGTGTCGGTTCAAGCATGACGGCGCGCACTGCGGGCACTTACAGGTCTGACCCGGGTACTGGGAGCGCGACGATTCATCCGGGCCATAGGCGGGGAGGAGGTGGTAGGTCAAGGCGCACGAGTCTGAGCAGGGCGAAAGAGAGCGGGCATCCAGACGAAGCGAGCCGTCAGCGGTGTGGGGTCTCGGGCCGAAGCGAGCTGCGTGCGCCCTGGCACGCACCTTTGAGGACAAAAGGGTCGGCGGGAGCGTCGTAACCCTCGCAGCTGACCTCGACGCGGCCCATGCGGATCGATGGCGGAAGGTCAGCCTGGCACTGTGCGGCGCGGTAGCGAAGAGAGAGGGTGGGTGCATCGAAACGAGGTGGATCAGCACGTGCACGCGCACACAAGGACCAGAAGCGGTCGTTGGGTGGCTCACCTTCCACTGCCCGCCTCCCATGGCGGTGCACTGGACCACGTCGGGGCGGAAACGGCGGCAGGGCGAGCCGACGCAGTTGAGCTGGGGCAGGGGTTCGGTGCGTCGGTAGGCCGTCTTTGCGCCGTCGTAAAAGGTGAGGGTGCGGAGCGACTCCATCGGTACGCGGCGGTTGGCGCCGTAGTGGGGCGAGGAGCGGTAGGCCATGGCTGCGTGCGGGTCGAGGGTGAATGCGGCGACGAGGAGCAGGACGACGACGACGCGGGCGAGGGAGAGTGAGAGGACGAGGTGCGTGCGCTCCCCTGCCGCTGCTCGCCTGGCGCAAAGGCCGGGTCGAGAGGCCATGGTGCACAGGAGGATGGAAGGGTGTATGCGAGGGTCGAGTTGACGCCGCGGGTGGGTGAGACCTGGATGTCGGCTGCTAGGGGAGCGTAATGTGGCCGTGGCTGTGGCGGTGACGGTGGCGGCATCGAAAGGAGCCGCCGTGCCTGCGTGCTGGATCGTCGTCGCGGTGGCAAGAGGAGAAGGACAAAAAGCAGTCGAGGCCGGGGGGGCCTGCTTGCCCCACGCCCTGCGCGCGAGTGAGCCGGTCGGTGGGCCAAGGCGCGAGGCGCGAGGCGGGGCAACGTGGCAGTCCGCCTCCGCCCGACTTTGCCACCTCACGCTGCCTCGCGCTGCCTCCCTTCTCCCTCGCTCTTTGGCTGGCTTTGGCTGTGCAACAGTCCTCGAAACCTCCAAAGCAACAGTCAAATGCATTCGATGCCACCGCTGACGACGACATTCCTCGTCACGATGCCCCGCCTGTGCCTCGTCATCCGACCCTCAGCATGGCCCTGGCAGTCAGGGCGGTCCGGACAAAGTCGAGGAAGTCCCGGCCAACGTCTGCCTCGTCCGCCCATCCGTCCGCTTCCTCGGTCCCGTCTGTGCCGACCTCGTTGTCGTCGCCCTCGCCCTCGCCCTCGCCCTCGCCCTCGCCCTCGCCCTCGCCCTCGCCCTCGCCCTCGCCCTCGCCCTCGCCCTCGCCCTCGCCCTCGCCCTCGCCCTCGCCCTCGCCCTCGCCCTCGCTCTCACTCTCGCTTCTGCCCTCGCCCTCGCCATCGCCCTCGCCCTTGGTCAGTCGCTCTCTGCCGGTCCCGTCGTTGCTTGTCGGCGCTGCGCCATCCTCGCTGTCGCCGATCTCGACATCAGCCGCTTCTTCTCCTCCACTGCTGCCGTGTTGACTGCCTCTCGGGCCCGTCGAGGGGACCGGCTCAACGACCTTGATTCCGCCGCGAGAGCTGACGCCGCCGTCGTCGTCGCTCCCGGAAGCCTGGTCCCGATGCGGATCCTGAGGCTGGCTCTGAGGTGGATGCTGAGGCTGGCCCTCAGATCGTTGCTGAGGCCGGTCCTGAGATTGGTCCTGGCCCGTCTTCTGCCTCTTTGCCGCAGGGGGGCCGCTGGCGGAGCCATCATCGCCTCCCGGTCCTGGTCCCGGTCCGAAGAGCTCCCTGATGAGTGCTTGGCTCGTGTGGGTCCGGTACACCCGGTAGATGCAGTAGACAGACTGTCGTCGCGGCCGCGCAAGCGAGCAGGTCAGCCCTTCTGCAGGAAGATGCTACGTGCACCGAGTGCAGCGACATGTCCACTCACCCTGAAGTGCAGTAGGTACAGCTGGTCTAGCTGAGCCTTGGTGTTGCCCGGCACGATTGAGAAGCGTGCCAAGTCCGCCTCGACACTGTCCGACCGCAGCGGCTGGCGCGAGTCGCGGTACTCGGTGAGGAGCTCTGTGAGAGCATCGTGCTGCGCTTGTTGCGATCCGTCTGCGGCAGCTGCTGGAACCCAGGCTGTTGGGTCAAGCACCCGGCTTACGGGCTCGTCGAGCGGCAGCAGACGGCCGTGCAATACGACAAAGCGATGAGCGGCGAAGCTGCAGGGAAGCCGGCGAGGCAAGCAACGTCCCTGGGCTTGTGAGATGCCGGGGTTTTGGATCGCGGAGCTTGGTCACGACCTTGGACAAGCAGCTCACCTGTGATGGGCCGAGTGGATGAGCCACAGACCGTTTGATATCGAGTCGATGCCGTGGGAAAGCTGCTGAGGGGAGAGTTGGGGGTCAAAGAGGGCAAGTCCGTGCGTGCTGCCCTGCTGCAAGGATTTGAGCACCTGGCCCGACGGGTCGGCGACGGGATCGGGACGCGAGATGCGGGAGCCACGGTCGTCGCCTCCCCAGAGATCAATGAGCTGCTGCAGGGAGTCGCCGACCGTCCGTGGTATGATATGGGCAGCCTGAAGGTCGCGCTGATACGGGCTTGGGTCCCCGGTGACGGCACACGACGCGACGCCGACGCAGGTTCGCTGCATCCTCGCTCGCAGCTGCTGATTGCGGCTGACGTTGCAAGGAGTCTCGGAGAGGGCTGGCAGAGCTACAGGGTGGTCCGCAAGCGGCGTAGACACGGCGAGAGTGATGCTGTTGGGTGCGTAGAGGAGCGGGAGGGAGAGCTGCGAGGCCGGCACCTGGACCCGGTCGGTGCCCGCCTGCACGCTGACGCCGTCGGGGAGCTTGATCTGGCAGGTGTGATGTTGCCTGGTGGAGCGCAGATCGTTGAAGCAGTCGCACGATGATGCGCGCATGCCAAAAGTTGCGAGCGCTGCTTGGACAAGAGAGTCGAGGCGGAGGTAGAGGGCAGTGGTCCAGGGCATGATGGGGCGCTCGAGATAGACGACGGGGGCCGTTGTGCCGTAGCCCTCGCAGACCAAGGGCGATTCTACAGCGATGTAGAAGCTATAGAGTGGGAGGGTGCGGTCGATGGAGCTGAAGCGGACAGAGAGGCAGAAATGCTGGCCGCGGTTGTCGGGGGGGCCTTGGAGCCGACGTGGGCGACGACGGTCGAGGCGGCATGGCGACTGGACTAGCGGTGGAAGGCGGTGGCACAGAAGCACTACTACTCATGGCGGCATCGACTGAGATTGCAAACGTGGTTCAGCTGACCGTCGCGGTCGTGGTTGGGGATCCGTGAGAGCAAGTCAGGGGGGTCGGCGGGCAGCCCGAGACCGAGGGGCGGAAGGAAAGGGTCTCTCAACACAGAGGGCCCCCCTGAGCGAGAGCAGGCGGCCCTTGACCTTCCGAGTCCCGAATCATAAGAATCAGTCTGCTGAGTCGTAAACTGATCTTTAAGCCCAAGGCGCAGGCTAGTTGACTACTGCCCAAAGCAGCCGTGTCCCGCTCGCCACATGCTTTGCCCACCTCGGCCCCACAAACTACTACGGCTTGAGACAGATCGAGGCGAGTCAGAGGTCCATCACATTCGAGATCTCGCTTTGGCACCAACACCGCGGCGTTCCGGGAGCGTCGCCACGATCATTGCCACGGCAGCGCGTGCTGCACCCTTTCTTTCGGGCTGAGCGCCTGCCTGGCAGCACCCTCGCATCTCCCCATCGCAACGCGTCCATTGCCTCTCCCTCTCGTGTCCCACGACGGGCCTGAGCGGAACCCAGTGGTCCAAGCAGTCGCTCGACGTCAAGACCCGCCGCCTCCGTCCACCTCGAGTCAGTTTCGCCGCATGGTGGTCGTCGAGCAGCATGGTCTGTGGCTGACGCCATACCGATTCACAGGCTACCGCGATCCGACGTGACCCGAGCTCACACCTCATGCGCGCATCGAGCAGATCCTCGCCCTCTGCCATTGCTAGATGCGAGGGTAGACCGACGTGCATGCATATGGAGCCGCACCACGCGCAAAGGTCAGTACAGTAGTTGCGCTCGCCCGTCCCTGTCAGGCGCCCGCAGCGAGTCCATCGCGACCGGAGTAAACGCCCGAGGGTTCCCATGCAGCCGCTCTGGCCCTCAACCCGCACTAGGTCTGAGTGGCATCAAGATACCGGCATAGGCAGGCAGGACGAGAGACGGGTGACAAGACAGCAGCCGACCGTCGACCGATGGTGGCAACACCGCGAGTCGAAGGCCGCTCGAGGTCGTTCGCAGGTTGGCGCCATCGCATACGCTCTTGGCCCGGTATGGTGCAAGCGAGATCCAACCCAAGCCGAGCTCCGACCTGTCTCGCGCTTCCTGACAGCGGTGCAGGCCAGGGCGAGGAAGCGAGGAGCGCAAGCAACAAGACCAGTCGTCGTTTTGCGGTCTCGATGCTGCCATGGCGGGCGCCTGTGCAATACCCCCCGCCTTCTCTATCTACACGTTTCTGATGGCAGCGGTCCTCGCGAGTATCTTGATGGCAGTCAGGTGGTTGCCTCTCGGCCCCTAGCACGGCCACTCGCAGCCTCCGCGCAATAGATGGAAGTGGCCGACGAGCGCTCGCTCCCCTTTGGCAGCGGACGTGGGCGCCAAATCCCACAATGGAAGCAATCGCACCGCGTGGTGCGAGGACCTGCAACAAGCACAGTAACTTAGATCAAACAGCCCAGCTGCCATTCACATCCACTGCCGCTCCGCACCGCCCCGGCGTCTGCGGCGTTTGACCACATGCTCGCAGGCGCCACTTCTCGGGAGCAGATGCTCCCTCGGTGGACACATGAGCTGTCCTGGTCGATCTAGCCTCACAATGTGGCAAGCCCTGCAAAAACGGGGTCAACGCGGGCACCAAGCGCCACTTCGCGCGCCGCCTTGGCCTTCTCGCTTCCACCATCTGGCGGCCCTTCCATTCAGACCGCTACCCCTAGAGCGTGCTGAAAGCGTTTTGTACCGACAACCAGGTGTGGATGTAGCTGAAAGGCCTCGAGCCTCTTCGCCGCCCAACGCTGCAGACGTATCGGATCCTCTCGCCGACTGCGACACCTGATCCCGGTCCCGGCACACGGGCACCAGGCCCCGAGGGCGAGCCATGGCACGACAGTAAGAGCGAGTGGCTCAAGATGGACATCCACAGCTCCACGGAGCGTCGCGTAGCTCGGTCCTCTATTGCGCTCGGAGTGATAGGGGACGGCCTGGCTACGGTCTCTGGCATATTTAGACCCGCTCGAAACTAGCCTCGCTGCGGATGATGACCCCGTCTTGCCAGATATTCGCGCTTGCAGCCGCGTCATCTGCCGTCCCTCACCTTCCCTCCCCTCCTCTTCCCTCCCTTCCTTTCCCGCTACATCACGTCCAGCTAAGGAGCTGGTACCCACGTCCTCGTCATCGTTGCAAGGCGCCAAGATGGCTTACAGGGCCCTTCACGAGCGCTTCGACCTGCCGCCGCCGCCGGCGAAGAGCATCTACGCGACCATCCGGCCGCACGACTGGCAGCGCGCGTGGCTGCCGGACTTCACTACGGCCGAGGACCCGGTGGGAGCTCTGCAGCATTTCCTCTACCGGCTCTTCCACATCGACCTCGCGAATGCCGTCTGGATCCAGGCCAAGGTGCTCTCGATCCTCTGCATCATCCTCCTTGTCGCCATGATCCTGATCCTCGCGCGCAGGTACCACGAGCGGTCGCTGTGGTTCTTTCGCTTCCAGAGAAGGTCCAACGGCACGCTCGTCATCCCCAACACCGTCATCAGCTTCACCGTCATGCTCCTCTTCTATTGCCTGCTATGCACCGCCATGTGAGTTGGGCCCGAAATACCGGCGCGAGGCGGCTCGCTACAGACTGCTGGGCTGACACCCAAACGGATGTCGTCGGTCACGGCCCCCCTCTTGTCGCTTCAACAGTAACTGGGTGCTCGTTGCCTTCGGGCCGCATGGAGCCCGGCCAAACCACATCCAGCTGTGGGTGTCCTTGATCTGGATCCCGCTCGCCCTCGGCGCCTACCTGTACTTGATCGGCATCACCCTGGCGCGGCCCAACGCGCTGGAAAGCCTCTCGCCGCAGCACGGCCGACCGAAGTCGCTGGCTGTACGACTCGGCATCACACCGATGGTGTTCAACATCGGCTTCATGTTCGCACCTCTTCTCCACGTCGCTGCGATCCTCGGCCCCAGCATTCGATCCGACCAGCACTGGCAGAGGGCGCTGGACAAGTTTGACGCCTGGCAGCACCGCTGGGCGGGATCGACGGACCGGCAGCTGAGCCGCGAGATGCTGCTCGAGGCCCAGGATATCTGGTACGAGGTGCTTCACTCCTGCTATCAGCTCTGCGTCAGCTTCTCGATCTGGACCGTGACCGGCGCCGGCATCGGCCTGGCACTGGCCTTTTCCGGCGGCAGGCTGGCGCTCCTGATTCACAACCAGATCAAGACGATGCGATCCCTTAAGACGCTCCGCAGCCTGCACGAGACTGCCGCCGCAGAGGCCATCGCACAGCCCGGAGCCAAGGCCGAGGTCAAGCTGCGCCGGGCTCGCCGCAAGTCGGGCAAGGTGCGGCGCCACCGCGACTTGACGTTTGCCTCGGCCGTGGACGCCCTGCGCCGGCGCTGGGCGACCACCCCCTCCGAAGAGAGCCACGGCACCGATACCGAGGATTACGAAGAGTCGCAGACCGAATCGATGTTCTTCTCGGCCGCCCAGCTCGAGGAGCAGGACACGCCCGCCCCCAACTTCTTCCCCGCCGTCAAGCCGAGCACCTTCCACCGCCCACCCAAGGTCACGGCGCAAAAGGGACAGCGGGCCCAGCGCCGGTACCTGGAGCGCTTCCTGGCAGACCTCATGGTGCAGATCTGCGGCATCGTCGTGGGCTGCTTCGTCTACGCGGGCATCTCGCTCCTGATGGCCATCCAGTGGTATGCGTGAGTCAGAAGCACTCGGCCTCAGCGCCATGGCGAACGAGTACAATATTCGAGAAGCATACTGACCCAGCCAGCCGATCTCCCTTGACCTCGCAGATGCTGGGAGGCCAATCGAGGTGACAGGGTGCTCACCATGGGCCTGCTCGGTATCGACTATGGCCTGATCATGTGCGGGACCATGGTCTTTGCGTGCATCCTCGGTCGCACCTATGAGCCCGTCTTGACCGGCCTTGTCAACAGTGGCCAGCCCGACGAGGCAAAGGCGGCGGCGGCAGCAGCGGCGGGGGATCTCAACGCGCGGTCTGGCGGCGCTGGCAACGGCCGCGCGAGAAATCACCGCTGGGCTTGGGGTCAACGCAGCAGCACCGCGGCCCAAGCAAGGTCGCAGGACGGTGGCCTGCCGGCACGTGGCCGCCGAAGCCTTGCTGACCACATCTCTCTCGAGATGACGCCCCGTCCCTTCTGCGAAGAGCAGCTCGCCGAGGGCGACGGCGAAGGCTCCGACACCGGCACCCTGGCGAGCACCAAGAGCGTGGCCAAAGACAGGTGCAGGAGGAAGAGCAGCGCGCGCGACCTCGCCATACCGGACGCCCGACTCAAGAACAGTAGCGACGACGAAGGCGACAACATGTCGAACCGGTCCAGCAGCATGCTCCCGGACTCGCCGTCGAGCGGCATCATGGTCTCAAAGACGGTGACGACCCGCTACGAGCATGCCGACTCGGTCGTCGGTGAGATCGACGTCTACCAGGCCGACGAGGCGTCCAACGACGATCCGGCCCAGACTCGACCAGACAGCCCCTCGCGCGCCCGCCTCGGGACACCGGCGGTCGTCTTCGGAGCGATCGGCATCTCTCCCCCATCTCCGACGTTGCCGTCGGGACGTGGGCGAAACCACCTCTATTCTCTCAAGGCAATCTCTCCCGCTGAGAGAACCTCGTTCGACTGACGGTTGCCACCCTCAATCCGTCTGCAGACGATGACCGCTGACGCCACGATGTCTGGCTCTCGTTCGCCGCGAAACTGTACCGCCGGCCGTCAGGAGGTTGAACGAGCCCGACACTGACAGTCATGACTGCTCCTCTCTTGTACCCGTTCCCGTCTCTCTCTTTCTTCCGCACGATCTTTCCTTCCCCCTCCTCTTTGTATTTCTCACTCTCTGAGCCTCTCTCTAGCTTCCATTCCTCGGCTATACCCGCCCGCCTGCCCTTCATATGGATTGCACCAATCACTGCTCCGCTGGCGGTGCTCTGCTGCGCGATCTCGCAGCCACCTGAGGATCTCAGACGAACACGGATCGCGGACAACGCTCAAACGCATCTCGAGCGAGATGGCCTGCGACAAGTCTTGCAAGCGTGGTCATCGCGGCAGTTCGCAACCATGTCAAATACCAAGGACCAGCCACATCTGCAACGATGCCCAAGCTGGCCTGTGCAGCGCCTCGGCGAGAGTTTCGGCAGCGATTCCCTTTGCGGCAGCCTGTCCAGCTCTGGCTGGGTCGCCCCGAGCTGATTTGTCACGATGATCGTCTTCGCTTTTGCAGAGATTGAGCAGCTACGGCGCCAACGGGCACGACGGTGCCGAGGGGTAGAGCAGGGAGCGCGATGGCATCGATTTGCCACCGCCAGCATCGGGTCGAGCTGGGAGTAAGGGCTCCAAGCCTCACCCGGCGACACCCGAACGCAGCTGCTTCCAAGCCGGCCGTCCATGGCGGCCGCCCCAGAACTGCTGCTGGCACCACGACCGCCAAGGTTGCACCGAGGAGGCACCCGAGGCGGAACGCACCTGCTTGGTGGCCATCTTGCCTGCATCTGGGTAAGGCTGCCCGCCGAAGCCTGCCTAGCCTGCGAGGCTGGTCTACTGTACTGTAGGCGGCTAGGGCCACTGGGGCCACTAGGGCCACGCGGCGGGCAGGCTTCGGCGGGCAGTGGGCGCCTGGCCTAGCCTGCTTGCCGGCCTGCCAGGGAGCGCGTCTGGTCCACGGGTCTGCACACGACACGTGGCGCGCCACGCGTTCTTTTCGCGTTCTCTTCGAAAAGGGTCCAGGGTCCAGCCCCTGCTTCCTTAGCCTAGCCTGCCCGCCTGCCAGCCGGCCTCTCACCAACTTTGCGCGTCGCGCCTGCCCAAACCTTAGACTGCCGGCGATACCGCTGTCTTCTGGCCTCGGATTTTGGCAAGTCGCCGAACATTCCCGGCGATACCGGTGATATCGGTGGAGTTGTTTGTGGATACGGCCGTAAGTCTCGTAAAGTCCGGTTTGACGGCCTCCCCTGACTGGTATGTCCGGGGCTACGGCCGTGACCCAGACATGAGGCCGGGGATACCGGATTTTAGCCCAGCTCGGACTTTGGGTTACGGCCGTAAGGGCGCCCAGATGGCCACCGGTGCAGATTTTTCTTTCCGTTGGAGGACCGTTACGGCCGTAAGGCTCACCCAACCCGGCGATATCGGTCTCGGTCCTTGCACTTCGGCCGTAACCTTAGCTCCGTGTCTGGAGATACCGTTATCTTACACGGAGCTACGGCTTACGGCCGTAAATGTCAGGGGCCACCCGCGGAAGCCGGTCTTATCGTGCGCCCGGAGGTACCCGTTACGGCCGTAAGCCAAAAATGCGGCCTAGCTCCGGAGCAAATCATTTCTTAGCTCCGTAAACACCGGTTCTCGCGCCAACTACCCGGACTTTAGGCCTCCGGACATATCGTTTTGCCCCTATTCCGGGGTTAAGCCGCGCCCAGACGTGATTTTCCCCTGCTCTAGGGGCAGGCAGCGCCGCCAGGCCGCGCAGAGGGTCGAGGCACCCCACCAGTGTCCTCCAGCAACCCAACCGCCGCCAACGCAAGCCGCCGAGGCACCACGCCAGTGTCCCGCAGCACTCGCGCCCGCCTGGCGACCCCCCCATCTCCCCAGCCAAACCGGAGGGTGCAAAGGTATATAGACCTGTCCTTCCTCGGTCTCCCTTCTTCCCTTCTCTCTCCCACCAGGATCGCCCAGGCGGCTCGATCCCCCCAGTGGCTCTGGCGCGCCACTCTAAAGAACCCTGCCTAAAATAATCCCCTCCCGGTGGCTGGATCGCCCTGGTGGCTCGAATCCCCCCAAGTGGCTCTGGCGCGCCACTATAAACAACCCGGCCTAAAATAAATCCCTCCCGGTCTTGGATCGCCCTGGTGGCTCGATCCCTAGTGGCTCTGGCGCGCCACTTTAAACAACCCGGCCTAAAATAATTCCCCTCGCCCCCGTGGCTGGATCGCCCAAGTGGCTGGATCCGCAGTGGGCTGGCGACCACTCTAAAGAACCGGCCTAAAATAATACCCCCAGTAGGTAGTTAGTGGTTCGGCGTACCACTTTAAAGAACTTGGCCTAAAATAAGCCCCAGCCTGCGTTGACCGAATACCGAGTGGCGCACCGCACCCACTGAAAAGAAGCGGCAACCCTTTTAATAGTGGTTTGGCGCACCACTCAAAAGAAATCGGCCTGAAATAAGTCCCTCCCCGCCCTCCGTGGCTGCCCGCGTGAAGGAGCTCTACGAGCCGATCGTGCAGCGATGGCGTGCAAGCAGAGGCAAGCGGTATGCCCATGGATTGGCGCAACGAGCAGGCGCGATCGCGGCGTGTGCCTGGAGGCCGACGTCAGGCTTCCCGACCGGCACTGTCTCGAGACGTGGCACCGCCGTCCTCTCGGACCAGCGGGCGAAAGGTCCGTCACGATAGGCAGGGACGTGGCAATGCCATCGTCCTGTGGCCAACGAGCTGGACGTAGCCACCATACATACACCTGCGCGCAAAGGGAAAGGCGGGGCCAGAGCGGCTCAGGACAATACCAAGCTGACGGTTCATCAAGTAACGGTCCGCTCGGTCCTCTTGCGGCACGGAGCCCTCGGTCGGATCCTTCTGCCAGCGCGACACCAGAAGCTCTCGTTCACAGCGGGGATGACATGGTACGCTGCCATGATACATACGCTACCGACAGGCTCCTCCAGGGCGAAGTTGCGCTGAGGGACGGTCGGTACCACACCGCGGCCGCGGTGGGGAAGCGCATCCATCGGGTCGCGATCCGGCATCATCACCTATCAGCCTAGCGCAACGGTGCCATGGCGCCGGCGCCAACAGCCTAGCCGCTTGCTACATATAGGCACTGCACCAGTCGAGAGCCGACCTCGTCGCCCTCACGAAGTGACACCCTCTCCGCTCGACGACGTCGCCAGCCGCACACCATGGCGTACAAGGCGCTGCACCAACGATTCGACCTGCTCGCGCCGCCACGCCGCAGCGTATGGGCGTTAGGCCGGCCACACGAGCGGCAGCGTGCGTGGCTGCGCGACTTTGAGGCTCACTCTGCCACGCCCGTCGAGGACCTCGGCCTGTTCCTCCACAACCTCTTTCTGCCCGATCTCGGCAGGGCCACCTACGTCCAGATCAAGGTGCTCACCGCCACCCTGGCATGTCTGGGCGTCTTCATCCTCCTCATCACCGGCCGCAGGCTCTACAAGAGGTCGCTCTGGGTCTTCCGCCTGGTCCAGAGGTCGAACGGCAGCCTCGTTGTCCCGAACCCCGTCTCGGCCTTGACCACCATCTTCCTTGGATTCGGCATCCTCCTGATCGGCATGTGAGTCGATCCTGCCGGCCTCGTGCCAGGACGGTTGAGGGCTGGACCGGTTGCTCAGACTCGACTTGCTCGTGCCTCGCTCGCGGGCTGCCCCGTACTGGACCTTTTGTCAGGAACGCCCTGTTCCTCCGTTACTATGAGCAAGGCTGGCGGCCGCGCCACATCTTCCTCTGGATCGCCGTCGTGTGGTTCCCACTGGCCAACGGCGCCTACCTGGTGGCGCTCGGGACCTTCTACGCCCGACCCGACGCTCTCCAGTGCATATCGCCGTCGCACCCGCCTTCTACGCTTGTCCAGCGGCTCGGCATCACGCCACGCGTCGTCAACCTCGCCTTCCTGGCCATCCCCTTCATCCAGGCCAGCCTGATCGTGTGGCCGGCGCACCTTTCAGACTTCCACTACCAGTCCGCCCTGGCCAAGTACTACGCGTGGAGGCAGCGGTGGCCCGACTCGACCACCGGGCTCAACAGGGAGATGCTCCTCGAGGCGCAGGCAATCTGGTACGAGCTCCTCACCGCCAGCCGCTACCTGTCCGCCACCAACGTGATCTGGGGGCTCACCTCGCTCTTCAACGGCGTCGCCGAGATGATAGTCGGAGGCGCCCTTGTCCTCACCGTCCGGCGTCAGATCAAGAAGCTGCGGGGCTTCAAGGCCAACAAGTCGTTCAGCGAGTCGTTCGCCCTCGAGCAGCGCAAGAAGGCACTCGAGGGACAAGCCGACGAGGCACAAGAGGGGTCTGGTGGCGGAGCTGCCGGCTCAGCTCCATCCCGACCTTCCGCTCGACGCAAACTCAGACGTCCGGCCAGGCATCAGAAGACGCTGGGTGCGACTCTGTGGTCGCTCCACCGCCGCTTTGTGGCCAAAAGGGACGGCAACGACTCCGATTCGGAAGACGAGGACGAGGATGAGATGGTCTCAGTCTGCTTTACACATGCGCAGGTGAAGGAGGATCGTCCGGCGCCCACCTTCTTCCCTGCCGTCAAGCCTTCGACGTTCCAGCGTGCTCCCCGGGCGAGCACCAAAAGGGGCACCCGTCAAAAGCGCCATTATCTCGAGCGGTTCTGGGTCGACCATCTGGTGCAGACGATCGCCATGGTCGCCGGCTGCATGATGTACGCCTTTGGCGGCACGATCGCCGCGTTGATCTGGTACCCCTTCTACGAGTCGGGCAAGACCGTGATCCCCCTCACCTACATCATCCTCGCGCCGACCTACAGCGCGGCGGTCTGCGGTCTGGTCATTTACACGCTCATCCTGGGCCGGACTTACGAGCCTCTCCTCAGCAGCAAGGGCGACGACCAGGACGCCGCACCGCCTCAGAGGCCGGCGCCAAAGGCCGAGGATGTCCAAGTCGGAAGGCGTCCCAGCGCCCGCGCCGCCCGTGACGCGCGAGGACGGGGGAGACGTCCCTCGACGGCGGGAGACGAGTCAGACTTCGAGTCCGATACGCACGGCGACACGACCAAGCAGCGGACGGCCACATCTGGCTTCACAGGACAGAGCAGCACAGCATTTGATACAGTCGACCTCGGCAAGCAAGCCGACAGCTACGAGGCAATCGAGGACATGCCCTCGGATATCAAGGATGCGCGCCGGCACGGCGAGACCCCCTTCGTGTCGACCCTGAGCATCGCATCGACCGCGGCAGTCTCGAACCTGCACAAGACGAGCGACGCCTCTCTCTACAGGGACAGCGACCATGCGGATAGCAAGACGGATGGCGTGGACACCGCGAGCCAGCCTTGATCGCACGATCCTCGTCTCCGTTCGTTCTGGGCGCCCCTTTCCAGGCTTGCCCGAGGATGCTGCATCATCGTCAGCGCAGGCCGAGGAGGCTTGCCAGCAGGGCAGGACCCTCGTTCGCTCTCGTACCCTCTCATTCCTTTTTTCTCTCCGTCTCCCATCGCTCCTTTCTGGACGAGGCTTGTCAACGAATTACAACGCTCTTTCGGCCCCGGCGATTCGACAGATGACTGGGTGCACTAAGCATCCGACGGCGAAACCCCTGCCTGTGATCAAGCGCTGCGGCAGGCTGGCGGCGCGTGCCCTGACTTTGTCTTCACAATACAATGAGCAATCGTGCCGAGCTGGCAGAGGTCTCGTCGGTCCTAGCACGACAGGTTCTCGAGGCTGCGTCGTAGTGTGCAGGGTCGAAGCCTGGTCGGGCCCATGATTCCGGCGGTGTAACACGATGGGACGATAACGCGAAGCTAGTGCGACGCTGAATGAGGTGCAGTACTTATGATTCTTGCATTCTGTGATGAGACAGGAGCGGAACTCAATTGACAGGCTGCCGTCGCAAAGCGGTTGGAGCATCGTCGGTCTGGAACAGGGCTTTTGTTTGTGTCTGCCGGGGAAGTGGCGTAGGCGACGCCACACGTTGCTGAGACGGAACAACGCTCCGACCCGTTCCTCCATGCTTCTGCAGGCTCGTTACACTCTTGCATCATGGCTCTGCGAGCTTTTTGTGCCGTCTTGCGGTCCTGACCCGAATCAAGAGAGCAGACACGAGCCAGGGTGCCCAAGTGGAACGAGCGAGAGAGGGAAAAGAGGCTTGTGCAGCTAGAGGAGGTCCAACCCCGCATCAGGAGGTCCGAGCGAAAGGATCGCGGCGCAATAATAATGGCGGCCTGGCTTTTATCTGGGCTCAAGACGTCGGACGGACGGCGACTCGTCTCGCTCTTGTCTTGCGCTTGGAAAGATATGTAAGCACACCGTCTGCCAGCCACGCTCGCTTTCCTTGGACGGTCGGACTAGGCCGGGCCCTATTGCGAAATGTACGTTCAAGCCGCCACCTTGACCCTCTGCGCAGCCGCCTTGGTTCCATTCGAGCATTGATAATGGCACGGTCCCACTCGCTTCCCTGCTGGTACCGCAGCGCGTCCTTGCATCGTGTGCCAGCCGGGCGGACGGTGCGCAGTTAGGCTATAAAAAAAAATTCTGCGCTGATTTCGAGCTAAACTTGTGTGTGTATGTATATAGGGGCGGGCAAGCCGGCAGCGACAGCGATGGGCCATCATCAGCGGTTCCGTCGCAGCTTCATCGATCCCTGGACAATCAGCGATCAGGGTGTCGACCGCGTTCTCCTGAGGCCCGAGTCTGACGCGCCACGACGGCCGGCCGCGCATCTTCCATGCCGGTCCACCGCCTGGTTCTGTCGAAGGCAGGGGCAACCCCTTCCCGACCCTCAGGGCAGAAACGGGGTCTGAGACTCACTACTAGACTCCGTGTGGATTGATAGTTGCCACACTTCGGACGCCAATGCCGCATAGGGCGGCTCTGAGCGACGCTCGGGCTCACCCTCTGCCTGCCCTGACGCTTGCATGGATGCCGATGGCGGCTAACCCCTCTTCACGGCGATGCTTCCGTCGTGCCTCTGGAAATACAGTATCGCTCTGCTGAAAGACCATAAGAACCTCGGGACTGCTTGGGTAGGAGGCCTGGCTCGGTTCAGAAGCCTACATATGTCACCCTGCCCCCCTTTTCCTTCTCCTGGCCGGCCGGCCCTTATACTGCCCCTTCTCCGACGTGCGTCTAGTCCGCTTACTCGACCAATCAGCAACAGCATCTATTCGTCTTCCACCGCCATCGACTGCTTCGCTGACTCGAAAACCAAGAGAGGCCACGATGTCCTACCGCGCTCTCCACGAGCGGTACGACCTGCCACCGCCACCAGCGCGGAGCGGGTGGTCCCTCAACCGTCCCCACGACTGGCAGAGGGCATGGCTGCCCGACTTTGAGACGTCTCCGCACCCGGTCGACCAGCTCCGTGTCTTCCTCACTGAGCTGGCCACGCCCAGCCTGAGCCGGAGAGACTGCATCCAACTCCGGGTGCTGTCGTGCTTCAACTTTGTCGTCTGCATCGCCCTGCTCGGCGTCGTCGTCCACCGGATCCGCCACCGTGCCATCTGGCTCGTCCGCCTGGTCCGACGCTCCAACGGCACCCTGGTCGTCCCCAACGCCATCCCCATGCTCACCATCTTCACCGGCTGCTGCTACCTGGCAACGTTGGTCGCTTGGTGAGTGGCTAACAACGACGAGACGTGGCCTGCCAGTTTAGCCTGCCATCCGCTGCCGTGACGCTGACCGAACGTCGTGCGGAAAACTTCTCCTGTCCGTGACGCGCGTCGGGGACGCTGGTGCAGCAACTCGACGCTCGTCATGTCGAGCGAGCGGTCCGTTCCCTGGGCCAACCTGCCGCTATGGCTCATACTCTCCTGGTACCCGCTCGGCCTCGGAGCCTACTACGCCATTGTCGCATCCGCCCTCGCCCGTCCCGACGCCCTGCGCTCGCTCTCGCCCCAACCCAACGTGCCGCCTTCCCTGGCGCTGCGCATGGGCATCACGCCGGCCGTCGTCAACGTGGTCCTCCTCGTCCTGCCCCTGCTCCAAGTCGCCGCAGTCCTCATCCCGGGCTGCATCGCGAATCGGCGGTTCCAGCTCTCTGCGGCGGCCTTTGAACGCTGGAAGCGCGACTGGGACGGCGCCACAGAGCTCGACCATGACATGCTCCTCGCGGCCCAGCACATCTGGTATACGATGCTCTCAGCCGCCCCGCCTCTGGCGGTGGGCACCCTGCTCTGGGGCATCACAGGGTTCTTGCTCGCCTTCGCCGAGGTGTTTGCCAGCGGGGCGCTGCTACTGCTGGTACGCAGGCAGATCAAGATCCTCCGCGGCTTCAAACGCAAGGAGGTCGCGGCCCAGCAAGAGGCGGCCCAGGCAGCGTCGGTGGAGCGAAGCAAGAAGCGGCAAAGCGGCGTCCGGCCTGGCAACACCTTTGTCGGATTCGATGCGCTTCCGATCGATCAGGCCATCGCTGGCGGATCTGGACCGCCGAAACGAAAGGCCAGCCACGACAAGACGCTCGGCCACTGGGTGTGGATGCGTTGGCGACGGTGGCGCAAGGGCGGCAGCGCCGACGATGCCGACCTGGACGACCAGTTCCAGGTGACGTCGCAGGTGATCTCGGCCGGCTTCATCGTCGACGAGGCCGAAGCGGCAGGCGACGAGGGCGCCCACACTCCGGCACAGGGTCAGCTGGCGCCCGCCACCAAGCCGGCGACGTTCCAGCGTCGACGCGCGGACGACGGCTCGCCGGCGGCGGGCCTGTTCCCCGCGGTGCGTCCGAGCCGGATCCAGCGCGCGCCCAAGTCGACGTCGAAGCGCGGGCGGCGCGGCCAGCGACACTACCTGGAGCGCTTCCTCCTCGACCACCTGATCCACTGCGCGGGCATCACGACGGGCTGCCTCGCCTACACGGTCATTGCCATCCACAATGCCCTGGCCATGTGGGACTCGGTCGAGGCCAACAACTTCGGCGCTGTGACCAGCTTCGCCATGCTCGGCGGCTCGTACACGGCCTTTATCACGGGCGTCATCATTATCGCATTCACCCTCGGACGCCTCTACGAACCGATCCGCGCCAACCTGGCCGCGCGCGCACCCACCATCCGCTTCCTTCGCAGCGTCCACGGCGGCCAAGGTGACGGGGCCGGCCAAGGGGACGTGGAGGGCGGCGGCGGCAACGGCGGCGCCGACAAGATCGAGTCGAAGCGCACTGACGCGCGCGGCGTTCGGCGGATGAGCACGCATTCGGCGCTGCAGAAGCACTCGGGCAGCCCGCGCAGTCCGAGCTGCATCGAGTCGCTCGTCGGCCTCGGGAGCGTGCACAACGCCAACGTCCACGTCCTCCTCGCGCTCCGGTCCCGGGACGAGATCGCAGAGACCGACGGGGTCCACCTCGACGACATGGGCCAAACCTCCGACGAGGCCGACGACGACGACGACGACGATGAGGATGGCGAGACCATCAGCAGTCCGGAGGAGTTTGTCAAGTCGCGGCAGAGCTCAAAGAGGCCCAGCAGCCGTACGCTGTACTTTGGCTGTCCCGAGGAAAAGGGCGGATCGAGGTCTTCCTCGCGCGATGGCGACGACGTTGGTCACATCGGCATCGATGCTCGAGGATGCGATGTTGCTGGCCCGCAAGGAACGGACGGAAGAGTCGGCTCGCCGGGCACCTCTCCCTCATCCTGGTCGCAAAAGGGCGGAATCGTGGTGCAGGACACGGTCACCTACACGCACCAAGGCGTCGAGCCCGATCCGGTTTTGGGCACGGTCGAACTCGAGTACGGTCACGGCGCGCACACGGCGGCGCCCGCGATGCCCGCCCCCATCTACGACGGCGGAGGGGGTAGGTCGAACCCCGTGCTGCCCAACGATGGCGGACCGGACTCGTTCCTCCTTCGTCCTTGGGTCGATGCCCCGCCCGATCGTTCCTCTAGAAGCGTCGATGGTGGTCGAAGCCTCACCGACTTCCTCCCGTGTCCATCCACACTCCCCTCCGACACCGCCACCGCCACCGCCACCGTCGATGACGACGACCCGTCCCGACCAAGAGCGGCGCGACACCGTCCCTCTGCCGATCATTCCCTCACCGCATCCAGCGATTCGTTCTTCTAGTTCCCCCTCCCCCTCCCCCTCCCCCGCCGCTTTCCCCGCTTCGTGGTTGAGTCCTCGCGCGTGATCGTCCTCCCCTCCCATCCCCCCGGAAAACACCTGGATCCTCCTCTCCCCCGTGACCCCACCAGTCACCATTTCGCCCCAACCGCCATACCCAGTCGCCCATCTACGGTCTGCGACGCCCCCTCCCCCCTCTCCCTCTCGACGAGACAGCCGTCTCTTCCGCATCCCGACCGCCTCGCTGGCCCAGTCGCGAGCAGATTCCACTCACTCCTTCTGTCCCCTCCCTAGCGCGGCGCAATCTGACTGATGATCCAAAGTGTGGTATTCAGAGGTGCACAACGGCGGGAGCCCGGTCGGTCAGGCTAGGAGGGCGGGTCGGGTGGCTGGTATCGAATAAGTGGATCGTCGTAAGCCGAGAGGTGGGGCCCATCATCTTCACTTGGTCCTTTCAACGGGACGAGGGCTTTCCCGTAACGCTCTCGCGTTACTGGCCTGGCCTCGAGAAAGGCTCATAGGCCGGGAGGTCCTCGTCGTTTTCGTCGCCCTCGGCCTCCTTGTTCTCCTGCAGACCTTCCAGCCTGCCGCCCTGCTCTGGCGCTCCACCGTAGAGGGACTGCTGCTGCTGCTGCCTGCTGAACCTCGCCTGGGCCGCGTGTCGCCTCACCTCGTCGGCCTCCCTCTGCGCCTCCTGCTCCTTCTTTTCCCGCTCACTCAGCTCCGGCTGCTGCGCCGCGTGCACCGTCGCATCGGTCGACACTGAAGACGTGCTGCCGGACGCGACGAGCCCGGTGCCCGACGGGCGCCTCACGGCATGGCCCGGCGTGGCGAGGTCCGAGATGCCCGACGACGAAGAGGCGGACGGTCCGAAGGGGTTTCCGCCCAGCGGCCGGGGCGGCGTGGCTGGGCGGGCCATCCCGGCGGCGCTGGCGCTCGTTGACTCGCCAGAGACGCTGGACAGCGAGTTGGTGTTCCAGCTGCCCAGGTAGTCGATCCCGCGGTCAAAGTAAGGCCCGCCGGCAGAAGATCCTCCCAGCCTCGCCACAATTGACTCGAATCGCTGGCGCGCCTCCTCGGCGTGCTGGCCATCGACCTCGAGCTCGACCAGGTAGGCGCCCTTCCAGACGTTTTGCGCGGTCTCGCCGGCGGCAGACGGGCCCACGCCGCCGACAAACGGCGCCGGCCTGCGCTCGATCTTGCGCAGACGAGTCTGCTGGTCGACGCTAACCTCGGCAAGGAACTGCTGGAACTTGGAAGGCGAGCCGATCAACGCGCCGTCCGCGCCAGCCGCCCCACCGTCGTCGGCGTTCATGGCGTCAAACACGCGGACCATCGACCTCGATCGTACGACGCCGCGCAGGCTCTCGTTGAGGTGAGACTGCAGCTGGCCGGGAAGGATGGCCGAGCGCGTCACCATGTCGAGCGGCTCGCTGGCCAGCACGACGAAGCGGGTGCGGTTGTTGTCCGTGTCCTGGATCGACGTCTTGAGCACGCGAACGCCCACCTCCTCGGCGCACGACTCGGGCCCAATGGCGGCAACGAGCGGGCAGCTGCCGCTTGCACCGGGCGACTCGTGGGGCGAGTAGATGGCGCCGGTGGCGAGTCCAGGCGCCGTGCAATTCTCGACCTCGAGCGCGGCCGTGGCGGCGCCCGCCGTCGAGTCGACCTGCTTCTTGCGTGCCGACGGCATGCACCGCTCGAGGAAGCGCGCGCACTGGCCCAGCGCCTGCTCGTGGGAAAAGACCTGGGTGATGTGCGCGAGGGTGTCGGGGCGAATGGCATCGAGGTTGTCGCGCGAGCCCTGCAGCTGCAGGAGGTGGTGGTACGTCTTGGGCCCGCACAGCAGCGCATGCTGGATGTCGAGGCTGGTCTCGCCGATGATGTAGGCCTTGCCGGTGACGCCGCCGCCCGAGTTGTGGCCGCCACCAGAGTGGTTGGCGAGGTCGCAGAGACCGTCGACGGTGTCCTTGACGGGACCAAAGGTGCTGTTCTCGAAGGGGACGACGGCAAACTTGACGTTGCCCGGGCTGCCGCGCTTGACAAAGTCGACGGCGCTCGAGATGCTCTGCATCGGGATCAGGCTAGCGCCCTCCTTGCCAAACACCTTGACCGCCGCCTGGTATGTGTAGGTGCCCGCGGGGCCGAGGTAGGCCACGGCGCCTGCCGAAATCGACTTGGAGCGGGTCAGCGACGACGATCGGCGTGGCAGCAGCGTGCCTGACTTTGGACCACCCGTTCCTTGCGGCACGACCCCGGTCTCAGCAACCGTCGGAGCGGGCGGCACGTTGCCACCGGCGGCGCCCTCGTCGTGAGCGCCGCCAACGCTGGCCGACGATGCGCCGGGCCCCGAGCCGAGCGCCGCGAAGGTGGCAGATGGTGAGCGCGACGGATCAGGCGCAGCTGGCGGGGTCGCGTTGGGCGGCAGCGGCGAGTTCCCCACGCCTGCTGTGCCGGCCGAGCTGGAACCGGGCAGGGGCGGCACACGCCTGGGCAGGCCAGTCGGAGCAGGGATGGTGCTTGGGCTCATGTTGAGATGCGACTGCGGCGAGGACGAGGGGGCGGCGGCAGCAGCAGCCGAATCGTGCGGCGAGGCAAAGGGGTCGGTCGGCCTGCCGTGCTCCGAGGCCGAGCTGGTGCGTCGGTGCTGGCCAGAGTTGCGGCGGGCGCTGCTGTTTGTGCCGGCGTCGTCCTGCTCGAGGTCGGCGCGGTTCGAGACGCCGTACGAGACCGTGTCCGCACGGCCGAGGCCCGAGGATGCGGAGCTAGGGATGACGGGCAGCGTGTCGATGGGCTTGTACGCCTGGAGCGCCGGCTGGAGCGCGGCCCGGATCTCGGCCGTCTTGGTGGCTCCCTCCCAGAGCGGGATCTCGGGCCCCCTCGGCTTGACCTGCGCCGGGAAGCTGGACTTTTCGGTGGGGATCAGGCCGGTGAGGACTTTTCCGTAGCGGGCGACGAGGGCCGTCTTTTCGCCGAGCTCAATGAGGCTGTCGAAGAGGGCCGTGTAGCCCTGCTGCAGACCCTCGCGCTTCTTTCGGCTGAGGAACTCCTCGTCGGCCTGGTCCTCATGGTTGAGCTCGTCGAGCTGCCTGTGAAGCTCTGCGCTGCGGTTGTTGGACGACGCGACGGCCTGCTGGGGCATGAGGGCGTGGAGCTCGCGCTTGAGCTTGATGCGCTTGTCGCGTCGGGCGGCGAGCTCCATTTCGTCCTTCTGGAACTTTTTCAGCGACGACCTGGCCTGTTCGGCGCGGTCGCAGTGTGCAGCCTCGAGCTGTCCAAGCTGGTGGAAGAGGAAGGCGAGCCGGTCGGTGCTGCAAGGGCGACGAAAAGACACCGGAGATGGGAGCGAATGCGCAGATGTAGGCGCAGGCGCTGGCGACCAGGTCAGCGGAGGCCTTTCCACAGCGCGGGAGCGCGGCAGCGAGCGGCGGTCGCCTGACTCACACGTCGGCGATCATGTCGTCGCCTACGCCGTCTTCGCGGTTCTCGGGCAGGTGATTCTGGCCCCAGTTGTAGGTGGCCTTTGCGACGGCCTTTGCCTCTCGTGCGAGGGCGTCATGATCGATGTTGAAGCTCTTGATGGAGCCGCTGAGGAGGTGAAGGGGGCGGTTAGATTCGTAGCGCGGATCGACCGAGGCGATGCCCTGGCGGAGGAGGTGCGGCACCACGCCCGAGTAGCTGAAGCTGCAGTGGCCCGTGAGAAAGGAGAGCCAGGAGAGCAAGGAGAGCAAGGAGTGTCAGCGTTCGGCCACGCGAACCGCGATCCTTCGACTTGGGCCTCTCCCGCGCAACCCACTTTGACCTATGCGCATCGCCACCAGCGGGGTTGGACGACGAGGCGTTGGCAGCGGCGGTGCTGTTGTTGTTCGACGACGACGACGACGACGAGTGGGCAGCCTGGAACTGCTGAGCGGCAGCCTCGGCCCTCTCCCTTGCCTTGGCGAAGAAAGACGCCATACTGCGCGATGGCGGTGAGGTGGGTGAGTGAAGGGCTGCGGTGGGATCTGACGGTGCCCTGGATGTGAGGGGGACTGGGAGAGACGGTGGATCGACGGAGGTACGGGTGCGCCCTGGGTCGGTGGTGGTACTGGACGTGTCGTCAACAGCGGCCCCGGGGTTGGCTGCGGTCCGGGGTATGGGGCGGCGAGTGTGCGGCAAGAAGCGGAACAGGCTAGAAGCGTGCGATTATGAGGTCGGAGCGTAGCGGCGTGGTGGACGTGGTGATGGTGGACAGGAGCCAGGGACGAGGGGCAAGGCAGCGGCTGGATGATTTCAGAGAGCAAGGGGTCGTCCCGCCCGCCAGGCAGGCAGTTGTGCTCGCAGGGGCCACTAGCGACGCAGGTGGGTGGGTGGGTTACGTCTGCACAGCCTGGCAGGCAGGGCCGCCTGGCCTCGCTTCAGTCACACCTGCAGCCTGCGCCTGCAGCCTGCGCCCGCGTCCGCGCCCGCCCCGGCCCCTCACTCCTTCATCACACCATCCATCACCTTGTCACACTCTCGCTGTGGCGCCGAACAAGCAAGCCAGACGATTCCGCACCTTTGATGCATCGGAGGTCGTGTCGGGCTGGGACAACAGATCGCTGGGGCACGAGCGAGGCATTGCTCTCTGCCATGGGGCGCGCGATCGAGAGCAACACCGCCGCGACGTGACTGCCATCGACCACCTGGTGCTATCGAGGAGCATCGTGCCGCCATGCTCGAGAGTCGGTGGACAGCACAGCCTGTCAAGACGAGGGCTTCGACAACGACAAATGACTTTGACGCTCGATCCGATGCTGCTGCCCCCATCACACTCATGAGGGGCCAACCGCATCCTTCCTGTCAGCCGGTGAACTCTCTTGCACGTCTGCCCCACAGCCAGTGCGCCGCTCGCTTCTCATACACTTGCGCGGCTCTTGCCGCTCCGCTGTCGACGAGCGATGTAGGAGGCATGCATTAATGGTGGTGGCAGTGGTGGTGGTGGTGGTGGTGGTGGTGGTGATGATGATGATACCGCCGCTGCGCCACAATTAGCGCCGCGAGCGTGACCGTACAAGTACATTATGAACCATGGACCCCGAGGTCAGGTCGGCCGCACGTCGTCTCCTCGTCCGACGGCCGCTCTTCCGCCCTTTCCAGGTCTTCCCTAGTCTAGCGGCTCCTCGTCCACCTGCATCGGCCCGCCTCTCGAGCCACCCATCGGCGTCGCGGCCGAGTCGTTGACGAAAAAGTCGCTGTTCCGCAGAGGCCGCGTCTGGATCTTGCCCCCCGACGCCGTCGTCGCCCCCGCTGCTGCTGCTGTTGCTGCCCCCGGGCCTCCGTTTGCCAGAGCGCCTCCGCCGTTGCCCGGCACCATGACTGCCGTGGCCGACGAGGCCGTCTGGCCCTTTTTGCGGTCCAGCACCGATTGCCGCCCGGCCTTGCTCCGCAGGTACTCGCGCACCGGCCTCATGGCGGCGTTGCGGCAGAGCTCCTTGAGGTCGCTGCCGCTATACCCCTCGGTCATCTTGACGAGGTCGCGCAGGTTGAAGCTGGCGTCGAGCGGCGTCGAGGACAGCATGATGCCCAGGATCTTTTCGCGCTGCGCGGCGTTGGGCAGCGAGACGGCGTAACGCTTGGGCAGCCGGCGCAGGATGGCCGAGTCAATGTCGTTTGGCCGATTGGTGGCGCCGAGCACAAGGATGCGGTCCGAAGACGATGTCAGACCGTCCCACAGGCTGCCGTTCGAGGCGCAAAAAGGGCGAGCCAAGGCAAGGCAAGGCAAGACATGGTCGCAAGGTCAGCGCACAGGCACCACACGAACCGCAGCCCAACAAGCGCCTCGGGGTGGGCTGCCGCACTCACGTCATGAACTCGGCCTTCATCATGCCCGTGACTTCGTGGTCGCCGGTGGCGCGCTCGCGAAGGAAGCTGTCGATCTCGTCGATAAAGATGATGGCAGGCTGCAGCTTGCGGGCGAGGCTGAAGAGGGCCGAGACGAGCTTGTTGGACTCGCCGAACCACTTGTTGGTAAGGGTCGAGACGTGCATGTTGATGAACGTGGCGCCGCTCTCCTTTGCGAGGGCCTTTGCGAGCATCGTCTTTCCGGTGCCTGGCGGGCCGTAGAGGAGGACGCCCTTGGGTGCGCCGAGGAGGCCGCTGGCGTTGGTGAAGAGCTCCGGGTAGCAGAGGGGAGCGATGACGCTCTCCTGGAGCGACGAGATGATGCCGTCGAGGCCGCCGATCGAGGCAAAGTCGACGGGGATGTCCTCGGGGAGGATGAGCTCGGCCGAGATCTGCTCCTCGTACTCGTTGAGCTGGAGGTCCTGGCGCTTCAGGCCGAGCTTGTCGAGCTTGGCGTCCGAGACCTTTTTCGAGTCCTGCCTCTTTTGCTTGTTGGGGTCTAGCGAGGCGAGGATGTAGCGGAAGGCGTAGAAGAAGGCGACCTGGCTGACGGCGAGTATGGCGACGTCTGCCACCATCTTGCGGGTGACGTCCCTCATGGTGACGGGTCGTAGCGGGGTGGAGAGGGGAAGGAGGATGTAGTGTGGCGTGCGGCAGGCGGGCGGACGGGCGAGCGTTGCGTATGCAGAGGCAAAGGAGCGTCGGCCGCGAGGATGTGTTGGCCAAGTCTTCGTGAGAAAGAAGCCAAGGATGGACGAGGTTGGAGGCAGGAAGGAAGCTTGCCACCGACGCGAGGGCTTTCAACCCCACCCACCCTCGCTCGCCTTTCCCTCGGCGGCGGGCCGGCCTCGAAGCGGGGGCAGTGTGGTGCGGTGCGGTGCGGGGCGGTGCGCTGGCCGCCAAACAGATCTCGGAACTCGGCCAGACAGCCTGGCCTGGTAGAGAGGCTGGAAGGCCTGAGCCTGTGCCGCTGCCAGAGAGTGGAGGAGGTCGCGTTGCCTCTGGGCAAGCCTGCGAACCGATCACCAGCCAGCCCACGCCCTCTGCCGCCCTGCAGCCGCGCACGCACCCTCGCCCTCGTCCTGGCCCTCAGCCTCGCCCTCACCTTGGCTTGGCTCTCGAAAGCAACACCACCACCACCACCGCCGCCTTCTCTCCCGTACCCACGTGCTGCCCTTTACCCTTGGCTCACCTCCTCTCGCTCAACACAGCCCGGCAGACGACCACTGCATCGCATCGCATCGCATCGCCTCGCCTTCGAAGTTCGCACTTCCACCACCGCCACTTGCACCACCACCCCCACACACACCTCGCCCAGCATGAGTATCATGGAGTACAACGGAGGCAGCGTGGTCGCCGCAAAGGGAAAGAACTGCGTCGCCATCGCCTCCGACCTCCGCCTCGGCCAGCAGGCCATGACGATCGCCTGCAACTTTGACAAGGTCTTTCCCGTCACTGAAAAGACCTACGTCGGCCTCCCCGGCCTCGCATCCGACGTCGCCACCCTCAAGGAGCGGTTCCGCTACCGCGTCAACATGTACAAGATGAAGGAGGAGCGCGAGATTGAGCCAGAGGTCTTTGCCCACCTCGTCAGCTCCACCCTCTACGAGAAGCGGTGAGTCGCGGCCCGCACGCTCGCCCCCTCGCCCCTCCCTCGGACCTCCAACCTGACCGGGTCTGCCCACCTCTGGTTCCCCACCCCTCGCCGCGCCGCCCCTTCTTCGCCAGCTTCGGGCCATACTTTATCGAGCCAGTGATTGCCGGCCTCAACTCGAAAGACGAGCCCTTCATCGCTGCATCCGACCTCATCGGCTGCCTCAACTTTGCAAAGGACTTTGTCGTCAGCGGCACCGCGGCCGACAAGCTCTTTGGCATGGCCGAGGGACTCTGGGAGCCGGATCTGGTGCGTTTGAAACGCCCCCCCCCCCTCNCNCNCNCGCNCGCGCGCNCNCNCNCGCCGTCGCGCGCGCGCGCGCTCGTC